GGGATGTAGGACCGTTGTTTTCTATTTATTAGATCGTGTTGCTGATATTTATGGCTTAAATGATGAAAAGCAAAATTTTTTACACCATATTATTAGTGCTAAATATCAGTTTGATAAATCCACAATTACAATGGACGAGGGATTATTAGCTTATTTTACGATGTTGATAAAAAATAAAGGAAATGTCAATCAACAAGATAACCATGGTAAAACACCACTAATGTATGCATTTGGGCAGGCTGGTGTGAATTTGTTGCTATACGAAAACCAGGTTCCTGACTTGAAAGTACTGCTGTATTTAAAAATTGACACTTTACTAAGCGAAGGTGTGAACATTAACGAGGAAAATGTCAAAGGACAGACTGCTTTAATGATAGCAATATCTGAGAATAGAAACATCAGTATAATACACCATCTAGTTTTACGGGGTGCAGATGTTAACATAACTATACTGAAGGTATCGTTGGAGTCGCAGCGTTTAGAGGTGTTCCAGTTTTTGATAGGATTAAGACCACGTATTACAGATACAACAGATGATGGTGACAATATCTACCATCTACTGGCTAGAACAAACTATAATACTACTGTCGAAGAGTTAAATTGGCTGATCAACCATGTCGACCCACCCACTGATGCGCATGTTACTAGTACAGTTGATATTAACCATACCAACCTACAGTGTGATACACCTTTAGCTAGTACAGTAGACATTAACCATACCAACCTACGGTGTGATACACCTATAGCTAACTCAGTAGACACTAACCATACTAACCTACGGTGTGATACACCTATAGCTAGTACAGTAGACATTAACTGTAGCAACCTAGAGGGTGGTGCGTCTAATACAAATACAGTTCATATTAACCATACCAATATACAGTCTGATACGCCTATTACTAGTATAGCAGATATTAGCCATACCAATATACAGTCTGATGCGCATATTACTAGTACAGTGGATATTAGCCATACCAATATACATGTACAGTCTGATGCGCCAAATGTACGCACCATAGGTATTAACCATGCCAATGTACAAGACGATACTCCTCTAATGATTGCTGCCTTTTTGTTGAATGATAAATTCTTGGAACTTTTTACACAAACACCCACTGTAGATATTAATTTACAGAATGTCAACGGTTATACAGCGTTACATTTATGCATAATTGGATTTACTATGTTAAAGCATGGATTGAACCAACGACAGTTAAATGATGTAGTGACGAGATATTGTAAACAGTTATATCCCATATACATAACCTGTGTTGATATTTTAATTGCTGCTGCTGCTGACTTAAACATTCGGGATAGGAACGGTAGAACTGTTTTGATGCTAGCAGCCATGAAGAACGACAGAACTCTGGTAAGAAAATTCCTTGGGACTGGTGCAAGAGTTGACATATTGGATAATGATGGTATATCAGCTTTACAATATCTTGATATTTATAGGAATGTCTATGACCTCACTTGTTTTAAATTATTTTTAGCATCGGTTGGTAACTCTATGCTGGATCTACATTTTTTTTGTGGTAATACTATTATGCAAACTGCTTTATTATTTCCAGTTTTCTGGGAACCAAGAAAAACTGTGTCTTTTATTCGTTTCTTGATAGCTGCAAATTGCCGTCTTCAGGGTCTGAAAGCCCAGCATCTTGAAAGCGGCTATAAATTGGTTTCTTTGGATGAGTTGAGTAGCAAAGAAAGAGATGAGCTAAGGGAACTACTTTATCTAAATGGAGCACCAAAGGACAAAATTATATCAACAGTGAATTTTGATGCGCAGAATATGAAAGATCACCACGGGACATCTGTACACCCTCGCCACAAAGACAGGTTTAATAGTTATTGTAATAGTTTATCTTTAGTGTGTCTGTGTAGAAGAACTATCAGGAAATGTCTTGGGTTAGGAATAAAAGAAAAGATACAGAATCTCGAGGTTCCTCATTTAGAACATTTTCTGCTATTGAAAGACGTCCTTCCTTCTAAATACTACAGTATTGATTTATTTGATGATGGTTTTAATGACTACGACGATGATGATGATTATTTTGGCTATGATTTAGATCAAGATAGGGATGGTGATTACAGTGCGTATAAATATGAATATTATACATTGATGACTGACAAAGAAAAGGACACATACTTAGAAGAAGCATGTGCCGAATTGCTAAGTAATGCATACAATCAAGAAAACAGAGAGGAGTTTGAAGAGGAAATAGAAAGGATGGCAGCAGCACGGGAGCGTTTTTATGATTATGAGGAGGTTGACGAAAATTTGTATAACCCCTGGTATTAAATGCCTAGTTTAATCATGTGGGTTGGTGGTGGGGGGGGGGGGCGTTCAGTTGTTTTAAATGAATTTATATTTTGACAGTGGTTTAGATACTTTCCTACTCCGTAAAAGCTTGACTTAGTGGTTTAACAGTGTTATTCGTGAACGTGTTTCAACTATTTCTTCTTCAAAATATATTAGCTCAAACAGTTGTTTGGGGTGAGCTGTAAATTTGTTGAAATACTTTTATTCTTCGTGACATATTTCACGACCAGAGATCAAATATTAGGCTGTCACTGAAGCCTTTGAGATTGATCACGTAACGAAATGATTCAACACAAATAGAATACAACAAAAGCAAAGATAGTTTTCTTAATATGTTGATTACAGTTGGCAGTTGAATCTACATTATGTGACAATCGTGGGACTAACTTACACACTCTAATGGATACGTTCTTATAAAAGTTCCAAACATCACTTGTATATTCTAATAACGGTGTGACAATAAAGATTGTGTTAAAATGTATTTTACTTTCCTTAAAGGTGCATTATGTAAGATTTAATTAAAGAGCTGACAGTTCTCGCTATAATAGTTGAAATATAGATAATGAAAGTGGAATATGTTGTACATTTCATTCAAATTACTTCATTCTTAGCGGATTTATGATCGTTTGAAGAACAATGTAGTCCCGATTGTCATTGCTGCAGTTGTTACGATAATAAACAAAGTCTCGATTATCCATTTTGTAATTATATTATTAACTACCAATCCTGTTTAAATCCGTCGAAAATCAAACCCATGCGAGTGTCTATAGAGTTGACTATGGGCTTCTCGTGTGCATAAATGTCTAATTATTGATTTATATAACATTTGAGGCCAAAAGATCTGCATTAGGCTGATTTAGCTCTTACATAATGCATCTTTAAAGAAGCAGGTTTTTACAGGTTATTCCCCTTCACATTATTTTGCAAAATAATCCTAAATATTTATGATAAAATAAATTAGCAAAAAAAGTTTTGATATTCTTTTTGTTTTGATGTTTTATTAGGATTAAAAGTTATCAACCATTTTCTTGACCAAACCGCCGCGGTGGCGCAGGAAATAAGGCACTGGCTTACTAACCAGATGGCCGGGATCTGATTCCGTTGGTGGTCGAGATAGTTCCGGGGATTTTTTAGTAGGGCGGAGGGCCTGACAGGTGACAACGTAAAACCGAGGCCACGTGTACACCCGTGCTCGTAAAAGGATGTTTAATAGCTGGAACCCAGTCGGTGCTGGATAGTAGGACGTTAAACTCCATTCCATTTCCAGGCATACACGATATATAAATCAATATAGCTGATAAATTTATTAGTGGAAATATGTTCAAACCTTCGAGTTGTTGTGATTAGATCTTTAATATACATAAAACAAAGTAGTGGACAAAGTCCAGAACCTTGTGGGACATCGGCATTAGGTTATAAAACATAATAAGTTTTTCAGTAGTTTCTATGTTATATGTTATATGTTATATGTAATTTGAAACTAGCTCAAGTAATTCAACTTTAATATCATTATTAAAAGTTGTATGAAGGACACCAATCACGCATGACATTATTCGTCAATAGTTATTGCGTAATCACCTGCGAATTGCTTTATTATTCAAGAGAAATGGGGTGGGAGGAAACCAAAGAACCCGGAGAAAATCCGTGAGGTTGGACAGACGTCACTACTCCTTGTTACGTACAACCGGGGTATCGAAACCACGCCAGTTGACTCAATGGGTGACCTTATGATACAACCCGCACTTGCTAAGAAATTGGATATCCAACCCACATTAGTCAAGTGTTTACATTCATTAATAGATATAATCTACATGCTAGAGAATTTTTGTATTAGTTGATAATAAATGGTAAATCAGGGGCGGATCCAAGGGGGGAAGGGGTCCAAACCCCACCCTGCTCAGCCACATAAAAAAATTGAATGCCTTGCATCAATGAAATTAAATCACAATGTGTTCCTACATCATTACAAAAATGATTTCTCTTTAAAAAGCTCAATTTTTATGTATGCCTATGTAATTTAGAGACCAGCTCCTGCAAAAATTCCTGAATTTCCGGAATATGGCAGTAAACAAAATATAAACATTTGGTTTAAAGTTAACTGAAAGATGTGTAATAGTTAATATTAGTCATAGTTGAAAGTCTCCATTTTGTATTGATCACGTGGCCGCCATGCGGTTCATTTGAAGGTAATGGGTCAATAACATACGATCGCAGTGGCCATAAACCCTCTGAGATTCCATTTGCAAGTATTTGTGCACATAAACGGTCGGTACTTTAAGTTGGACACAATCGCATCGGTTCGCTTTGGCGACATAAGCGAGGTTTAAGGTGTACGACCATATTGCAATGTGAAAGTAAACAAAAGGTGACGTCATGCATACTCTAACACCAATCTCGAGAATACGGGGCCTAGATAAAAGTTCCTTACTTCTGCAATATCGCCCTGGGTTGTAGGCTAGTCAGTTTAGCCCCGCAAACGAACACATTAACGATTAGGCGGTATGACGACAATGTGGGCGACACAAGGAGAAATTGCAAATTTATCATATTTCATTAAACAGAAACAAGTTTCTACTTTTCCTAGCACATGTCTATGATATCATAACTGCTGAAGCAGTGTTATACCACAAAGAAATTAGGGCTGACTTCTCTTTAAAAAATATAAGAAGTTTTAAAATAAAGATTTTATAATTTTATTCGATCTAGATACATGTTGGTGAACTAAAATAGGTTGAAAATTAAAAGACACAATAACATTCATATCACAGCATCATATAAACACATATCTTACAATAATAAACATTTACACAATCATATACATGTATATTGCACTTCTAGTTTTAATGGGGAAGCAACTCTGGCTGACTAACCAGTGGATCGATCCCGGTGTTGGCCCAGAAAGTTGCTGTAGTTTTTCCATTGGTTTGCAGCCTGGCAAGAACAACGTATAGTCGTAAGGGTGCGAAGTAACACGAGCTCCCGTGTACTCGTTCGTTTGCACGTAAAAGAACTCTTAACACGTTCCATAAATACTCACATCCTTTAATATATCGACTAAATACTATGTTCCATAAAACTCGCATAGAAATGCACCTGGGTCTGCTTAAAGTAAAGCTGATTAAATTTAGCCAAAAGATGGTTTAGCAAAAACTATTAAACAATATAAAATAAGTTTCTAATGTAAATTAAATACACGGATAGCTGAATTATTTGGGCGTAAATATAATCACATAATATAATCAATATTCCATTACTGTACTTCATTTTATAATTTTCACAAAATAAGATAGACGTGCATATAAAGGTCATCAAGTATAAAAAGTCTTCTAAATAAAACGGGGAGTCCCAATAAAAGCTTGAGGTTCCGTGTTCGATTCTGGTTTGGGTCGAGAAATTTCATCCGTTTTTTTTCAGCGCGGTTCCCTCTTGTCGTTCGAATTGGACGAAAAGCCGAGATCATGTGTACACATTGGCTTTCACGTACAAGAACAAGTATAAACAGTCCCAACAAAAGCTGGAGGGCCCCTGTTCGATTCTGGTTTGGGCCGAGATATTTCATCCGGTCTTTTCGGCGGCTTCCCTCTTGTCGTTCGAATGGCACGAAAAGCCGAGATCATGTGTACACATTGACAGTTTGAATGCCCGGACACAATTTCCCTCCTAGCACACTGCATGTCGTCTGACCGTCTTCATTATAGCTCAGTCGGTCCAGAAAAGTAGGACGTTTAACCCCCATTTCATTTCATTCCTCGATTGTTGAATATATACGAAGAGAGAAATGGAGTTTAACGTCCACTCAACACAAACTAGGCCATTTCGGGACTAACATATGATGCATCCACGATGTTGGCCAGGCGACCCTACCACGCCACTTGACTCAATGACCGACCTTATGATCCAACGTGCACGCGTTAAACCATTGGGCCACCCATCCCCCAACTGTTGAATAAGCTGAAGCATATGATGGCAGTCTCGCAGTAACACTTAATAGATTTATGTTTAATAAATAGATAAATAAATAAATATATAAATAAATAAATACTTGTAATTGGGTATAGTATTATTAGTCGTACTAGTATTATTATCACTGTTTTCACTAACCTAAATAAATAACAAGCACTTATATTTTTTTAAAAAAACGAATAACTTACCAAGGCACCATAAAAAGTGTTAGCTACCATCTCAACTTCTCAAAGAAATCGATAAAGTGGTATAACATGTTCCAGAAGGTGCAGATTGTTGTAAATCAAAGTATAAAATTCCCAAGTAGGAACAGTCAAAATAGTGATGGTGTCTTCTCTTTGGACTCGCATACTTTGGTGAGCATTTCTTACAAAAAAAATTAATACTTCCCAACTCTAATAAACTAATAAATTTGAGTTCATTCATTCGGAACACAACGAAATAGGATAACTAAATACAATCTATTGGTCAACATAACACAAATGTAAAACATATCGAAATATGAATAACAAAATAATATGATTAGTAAAACGAAGTATCTTATAAGAAACATAAAACACACTGAATCAGGGATGACAAAATATACAATTGATTTGTAAACATTAGACCCATTGGAACTAGAATAACAAAAGCCACTGACAATGCTAAAACTAGAATAACAAAACACGGCGGTAAACTGCTAAAATATACTGGAAGATGACTAAATACATACTACTAAAACATATTAGTGGCTTGGTAAAATATACAAATAACAAAATACATATCGCAACCATAAACTGACTGTCATTATATAAAATGAATTAAGAAGTAAATAATATGTATATATCATTGCACGCCATATCACTCACAACATTCAGACAAATAAATAACACAACTAAAGGTAGTATTCTGTTATGAAAGCTGTGCTCTCCTTATTTCATATTTGCTTGGGAAACGATTGGATGTGACGGCATTTACGGTAATTGCGTATTATGTAATTACATATTCGTTAATTGCAAAAGACAATTGTCAAAATATCTATTGAGTAAAATTAACAATTTTAAAATGTGTCAACAACTCATATTTACCGTAAGTACCATATGTTAAGGGTGATTACCGTAAATACAGGTATTATTTTCCAATTTAAGCTAGCAATAACGGTAAAAACGACATATTTACGGTAATTCCATGTAACGAGTATTATTTTCAAATTTAAACTAGTATTAACCGCACATACAAGATACGTGTAATTTTCTCAGTTTTCAATTCGAAAAGTCGTAATTACGGTAAATGCCATTTGACTAGAGTAATATTTTCAAGCTGAAAACTCGTAATTACCGTAAATATGACAATTTACAGGTCATTACCGTAAATTTTATGTCAATTTACGGGTAATTACCGTAAACATGACATGTACTAATCTATGAGAGGCATTTAGGATTTTAACTCGTAACTACCGTATATACGACATGATTCAAATACATGCCAATTTACGGGTCATTATCGTAAATACGACATGTACTCGTAACTACCGTATATACGAATACAGCAAACGATTAAACCCATAGCAGATGGGGTCGTAACTATTAACAAACATCTACTATAAATAAATATAATACATCTGGGTGATCTGTAAGATAAATATATCACATCATTCCTACAAATTTTAACACCTCAAGCTTTACATTATGTACACTGATTATGTAAATATATAACTATTGTAATGGGCAGGAGAGAGAATATTATACCGGAAACACTTCAAAATTATAATGAATAGAACGTATCATACCAAAATACTTCAAAATTATAATCAATAGAAAGTATCATACCCAAATTTCTTCAACATTATAATAAATAGAAAGTATCATACCTAAATACTTCAAAATTATAATAAATAGAAACTATCATACCGAAATACTTCAAAATTATAATGAATAGATAGCATCATACCGAAATACTTCAAAATTATAATAAATAGAATCTATTATACCGAAATACTTCAAAATTATAATAAATAGAAATTATTATACCGATATTACTTCCAAATTATAATGAATAGAACGCATCATACCGATATTACTTCAAAATTATAATGAATAGAACGCATCATACCGAAATACTTCCAAATTATCATGAATAGAAAGTATCATACTTAAATACTTCAAAATTATAATGAATAGAAAGTATCATACTGATGTTACTTCAAAATTATAATGAATAGAACGCATCATACCGAAAAAATTCAAAATTATAATAAATAGAAAGTATCATACCGATTTTACTTCAAAATTATAATAAATAGCGCGCATCATACCGAAATTACTTCAAAACTAATATTGATATAAGTATACAATAAAATATCTTTCAATAATAAAACAAGTAAAACACAAGACTAGGTTCAGAACAACCCCGTGGTTTCCAGGAGAAACGTCAAATTACAGTCCTGAACGGTTCATTCCGGTCATGAACGGTTGATTACGGTTAAAAACGTAATGTCTGCAAGGACAGAAGAAGACGAAGAGAAAAAGACGGCGATTATACTCCGAATGTTGCTAACAGACATGGAATATGGGTTTCTCTCTCTATTCCTGTCAAAGTCTTTGCCATAAATGCTCCTGTGTGCATGGTTGTAGAGCAACGAGACGAAGACGGAGACTCGAGCGAAAGGTAGATAACCCTTGACAAAAGACCTCAACCCAGCCCCCTATCTCCAAGTAAGAAAGGATATAGCGAAATAGTTATATTGCCGAATATAACATCCGCGGTATGAAATCATTATATTCAAATAAATCTGACAATTCTGACATTAAATATTGTAATGCAAACAAAATGTTCTATTCACGCCTCCATACACACATACTAGTATATGAATATACATATATATACACTAACTACTTATCACACTTCAATAAATACACATGTACATATCTACATAAATACTTAACACGATATTTCACGACTGGGGAAAACAGTTTTTACTCAACTTTAGACTTACTCAAACTTTTAACTCACTTATAACTTAACGTCGCTGACCGGCATTTGAAATTTTCGGAAAATATCAAATTTTTCACTGTTTATTCCATCCTAAATGTACTCTGTTGTATTATTTACCATTTAATTTAGAAGGCAAAATCAAACGATCGAAGGTAGATAATATTTGTGTCATAATGAATTAACACGATTTTGAATTCCATATTTCACAAGCAACAGTAACCGTCGTTTTGGATGTGTGTAAAGTTGAGTAAACAAACTGTTCATGGCCCTGGGCCCCGTCTTTAATCTCACACTCGATCCCAGCCAGAACTCAAAATATTACTGACGAGTACTTCAAACTGGGCCACACTACTGATTCAAAGGGCGGATGCTACTGGGGAATGCAACCTCTTCCAGGGGAAATGCATACAGACCTTAGTTTACACAGGATTAAAGTGACAGGAAAGATATACACAACCTAGTAAATGGACGGAATCGCGTAGTCCCCCGGCAATACGCTTCTATTTAAAACTTAAATTAACATCATTGAAGTTCAATGGTCCTGTTATTTATAGAATCAAGGGAGGTAAACAATTCGGCTTAAACCAGTCATTGGGTTTCGAGTCCTGGCTTGATGGATATTGAAAGATTTATACAGCCGTTTCACTGAACTGCCACACTTGCATGGGGGTGATGACGTCAGAGTGAACCATGATAGGTTTGGCTACACGCTGAGGTCTTTCAGCGGACTTCGACCTCCACCGTTTAGCATCTACACCAGGAGGCGCTGCAGACCGCGAATCACGTTCAGCCTGAAAGAAAGTATAATATTGGTAAGAGATGTAAAATAAACTGTAACCCAATGATCTCCGTCTATAGCTGGGAGCAAATAACAGCGGTGATGAATTTGTGACCTTAAATTACGTTCTGTTTTGATAATGAGAGAGAGAGAGAGAGCGAGAGAGAGAGAGAGAGAGAGAGAGAGAGAGAGAGAGAGACTAAAAGTCCACTCGCCACAAACTAGGTCAATTTAGGAATAACATTAAAGGTTCAATTTTATTTTGATAATTCTTTAGCAGCGGGAGGAAACTAGGCAATTTAACTTACGGCTGACGCTCTTTCGTCGTCTGTGGTGTTTTTGGAAGCTGTCTGTGGTGTGGTTGGTGTGGAAGGGGGACGGGGCGAAGACTCTTTCTGGAATGCTGTGGGTGGTTTATCTATATCACCAGTTGACTCGCTGCGACTTATAGATGCATCTAATAGGCCAGGATCGGTTGTCTTCAAAGATTCTTTGGATTTCTTGCCTTTTAATTTTCCCTTTATTGTAGAGAATATGTCTATGGGCGCGAAGCCTGTTGGTGCTGCAGGTGGAATCACTTGCATCCCAATCTTTAGTATAGACGAGCCAACAGTTGAATCCAAACTACTAGATTTCTTAAAGAATTTCCTCTTTTCTTTTGCTGTTTTGGGTCCTGGTGAAGTACCTCGTTCACGTTCATCGGGAAGAGTCTTTGGTTTTAGCAATGATTCCTCGCTGGGTATATTCATTTGATAATGCATCTTCTCGTCCATAGATGCCGATGTTCTCATGGCTGGTGCAGAAAAAGTTGTTGGTTGTGCGATTTCAGACATTTGACGCTGTGTTACTGGAAGACTTGATTGGTGCTGATGATGGGCAGTTTTTCTATCCGGCCAAGACAGGTATCCAAACCCTGGCGAAGCAGGTGACTGTTGCTCAAAGAATTTCTTACGTGCTGACCGAGGAGTGAGTCTGTTAAAGTTTGATGGAGCAGGTGCTAATATGGTGTCATCACTTTTGGATCGGTCGTTGTAGCCAGACGTAAAAGATTCGGATGTCGGAAAGGTTGGCGTGGTCGTAACAGAGACGGATTTGTTACTGGGAACTGTTCCGGGCATTGCACTACTGGATGGAGTATCCATAGACACACTTTTTATAAGGGTCTTAGGACGACTATTGTTTCTACTGGATGCATCATCTATAATATCTGTAGACCTGGACAGTCTGGTAGATGGAATGGTTAAACTGGACGGCTGTTGGAAGGGCGATGACTGGAGATGGGAAAACGAACCCCGGTCAAGAGAATCTGGGGTTACAGCTCGAGAAGATTGGGCACTACGAGATCCAGAAGAATAGCTTGGAGGTCTATCTGAGAGCCGTGGTGAAGGAGGAGGTGGTAGGATGGTGGCGGATGTTAATGGCACTGAACTATCGTACGTGATACTCCTTTGAATACTCCTTTGAACAGCCAATGCATTCGGATTGCTGGATGATTCGCTCTTCTCAGCCGAAAGCTGCTCCTTCAGAAGGCTCAATTCAGTACTAGACAAACTCCTGAAATAGCAATGAAATAAAATGAAGTTTAACTTCTTGTGAACAAATTTCAGCCATGTTGAGCTAACACATTGTTATTTATATTACATGTAATGTGGAAACCTGTTCAGCCATCGTGGAAGTCCGGAAAATGCAACTTGAAATGTCTGGATCCCTTAGATTTGGGTAAACGTTCGATTTAATAAAGTTTGATCTTTTGAATTGTAACCAAATTTGACATTTAACTTTCAGTGCCGGGGTCTTATTCACGAAAAAATATAAACTGAAACATTTAAATGGGCGGGGGGGAGGGGCTAAGAGCTAATATTTTATCTAAATAAGCCAATGGAAAGCTTCGTATTAGTCAGTACATACAATGTACCAATCGATGGTAAGTTGCCAAAAAATCAGCCGAGTGGTTTTAAAAAATCACTTTTAGATTAATAGTCTCCAATCCAAAGGATTAACTCGGCGAGTTTCCTGTTCTACGGTTTTAAATAATCAATGAATTGTTGATGAATTGTCCAAGCTTAAAATGTGCCCAAACCGCTTAGAAATATACATCCGGGCACTACATAAACTAAAACACAAGTTTAATATACGGTTATATTTTAACTGGAGGATCAACTACACCCACCCACTTTGTATCTGTTTTATTCAACCATTTATTGTATGTGATATATTATCACTTGAGCCCCCCGTCAGACCAAAGCTCGACGTGTTTGAAATCTAAAATATTTGGCGATCCAAGGAGACTCATAATTTCTAGTAGGTCGTGTTAGGGGGCTTTAGTGAACTACTTAAATGTTGAGATGCACTTAGACTGTAAATGTAGAAACTCAGATATATACAAAGCAGTGAATATTTACCTTCGAAATTTATTTTTATCTTCACCAGTTGAACTGGTTTCATTAGCCAACTGATCAGCAGCGAAAGTTATCTCAGCTACAGACTAAAAAAGCAAATCCATTCATATGCGTAATAAACGACAAATCATACCAGTAGTTAATTGGGGTATAAAACAACAACGACGATGCATAAAATAAAACGCAAAAATATTGTCTTGCATTACAGAAACAAATCGTCCTTTAATTCGTCGACTACGCATGACAAACCTGAAGTTGTATGGGCGGTGTTAGAGGTAGGGTTTTCGTCTTTGAAGTTTGGTGCCTTTTATCATTCTAGTAGTTAATATGCAAAGAAAATTAAATGAAATGAAATGGGGTTTAACGTCCTACTTTTCTGCTCCTAAAGTGGGCTAATGAAGACGGGCATACGCCATACAGTGTGCTATGAGGGAAATTTTGCCCGGGCAGCGGCGCTACGGTCTACTCTTATATCGAATTCCAACGCCAATATGTACACGGGTCCTCGGGTTTTCGTCCCATCTAACTAGACAGCTGTCCTTGTCAGGCCCTCCGTCCTGCATCACTGACAAGGGCAAACCACGCCGAAAATTCTCAATGGTCTTACTCACTGAGCCATCGGACCCCACCTCCCCCACGGTGAAATGAAATGGGATTTAACGTGTTACTGTTCTCTCCGGTTAGTAATTCAACGTTTTACTGGACCAGTGCTACGTAAAGTAACCATCAAAATGTAAACTGTTTCAATGGCATTTAGTAATTGAACTAGAGTATACAGGTCACAATTCTATGGAATACAATTTTTTAGGTTAATTGGTATTATTACTTATTAGCGTACAATTAAATCAGATTACCATTAGGTACACGTAATTAAGTTACATCCCTGGTTTGTCAGCATTAACTTAGCATTGTTGTGTACATGTATATATTGTCCTGTCATATTTTCATTTTTTATCATAGCTTGATAATGACTAGAGAAGCCTAGTCGAAACGTCGCTCAGTAAAAAGCAGTAATTGTATTCCATAGAATTGTGACCTGCATCAAAATGTAGACACTGGCGGTCAATTAATACAGTTCGTTTTTATAACAAAATGTTATTCAAAATCTTTAAACGGGATTGGGGGGGGGGGTGTTAGTCTAATAAAACCCTTTTCCTAAAATGGTACAGATAATAACCAACAAGTCTATAAGTGTCGCTCAGAAGAATCGTAATGTCGATATTCTTATTGAGGGGGTGGGGCGGGGTGTCAGTGAGGTAATGTTTGCAAAACCTAATATCTTTAGGTAAAAAATAAACTATGCCAAGTATCCATATCCATATATATATATATTATGCCAAGCATCCGCGTAACCGTCAGAGGAATAACTCTTTAAATAATATTTTTTTACATATAAAATTAAAAATAAATATTATGTTTTACATATAAAATTAAAAATAAATTACCTCTTTAATGTACTTCAGTATATTCTGCAAAAAAAGAAAATAAGGCACTTGATCTATTTATTCCACACAATGATAATAAATGACGTTAGCAGTATTAAAAGCGATTTATAACCACCATTGTGCGACCATTTATGTTTTGCAATATTAAATTCTTACCTGATGAAGATCACGTGATTGGTTGCCTTTGGATGACGACGTTTCCTGTTCATCTGCCGCAATTAGGGCGCCAATTTCTCTAAGTTTGATCAACTAAAATGCATAATAAAGTAAATATTTATTTGAGAAAATATTGAAGAGTTTAAATATTTGTATACATAACAAAATACCCAAACAAAGGACAAAAGGGTTTTGTGGCTGTTCTTAAAGACAGCAAAAATCTTAAATACAGTGTGCTGTTATGGAAATTTCGCCCGAACAGGGGCGCTACGGGCTACTCTATATCAAATTCCAGCTTCCACGGGATTATTTTGCGTGCACACTTATGTGTACACGGGATCTTTTGCGTGCACACCTATGTGTACACGGGACCTCGGTTTTTCGTCCCATCCGAACGACTAGACAGCTGTCGTTGTCAGGCCCTCCGACCTGCACCACTGACAAGCGCACACCACGCAGAAAATTCTCAATTGTCGTTCTCGGCGAACACCGGGATCGAACCCGCGACCTCCAGGCTAGCGAGCCAACGTCTTACTCACTGAGCCATCGGACCCCCCCACCCCCCGCCCCCACGGTCCCGCACAGAGTCAATATGGGGTTCAGAAGAGGACACAGGGCATAATTCCATGGAATATAACTTGAGAATCCTAATCAAAACGTTCTGTACGTTACTCAGTAACAAACAGTAAACATCAAACAGTAAACATATATGTAAGGACAACAATTATATGGAACATAATTACCGTTTGCTAATGAACAACATTTCGACTATAATATATAATTTTGTAATCTGTAGAGATGTCTGGTCACAATACACCTAAGTAATAAACGGTAATTACATTCCATAGTATTGTGTCCTAGTATTTCGACTTAAATTATTAAATGCCATACAGACAATATTTATCGTATTCCGAATTTTCGAATATGAGCTAATTTGGTCTGCATAGGTATAGAATGTCAATTTTCCCTGATAATTCAAGCAGGAATGTGATTATGGGTCGAATAAAGTATACAAACTTACGCTACTAAGTATATCATCGATGCGTTTGGTGTCGCGAGTATGGGCCAGTTTGGTTTCCATAATTCTTTTTCTCAGATCGTTCTTCTCCCTCAGCCAGATCTCCTGGTCTCGTTCTGATCTCTCCTGTAATTCTTTAAATCTCTGTTGCAAAGCTACAAACTTCTTTCCTAGAACCTCCAACTACAAATCAAACTTTAAAGTTACAATTTCATATTTTTGAATTATATTTTTAAAATGTATTAAAATAAAGCCCTAAAACAGATGGTATCTATAAACAGTCCTACCCTGTTAAAGAATAATCCTATTAATCCTATAATTCACTATTGCCAGTTGAGAAATTGGCAAAAATATCATTTTTAACTTCAAATCCAAACGTTTGAAGATATCTATTCCATGGTGGGGAATAGGAAAACAAGGGAGGTAATTGAGTTATTATTTACGGCGTGAAGATTTTTAAGTGTGAGAAAGATAACCTATGATCGTATAATAGTGAGTTGACTATGGTGGCCCATGGTCGCAATAGCGTTTTTGGGGTTATTTTTTGTATTTCATTTAAAATCATAAAAAATAAAAGTAAAAAAAAAGAAACATTTTTTTTTTATTTTGTAAAACAAAAGAAAAAAAAAATCTTTTTAAAATTTAAGAAAAAAAAATTCTTTTTAAATTAAAAAGAAAAAAAAATATTTTTAAATTAAAAAGAAAAAAAAAATCTTTTTAAAATTTAAGAAAAAAAAAAATATTTTTAAAATAAAAAATCTATATAAAAAAAATTAATAAAATATTTAAGATTAAAAAAATCTATAAAAAAAAATAACATTTTAATTAAAAAAAAATAAATAAGTGAAATAGAAAAAATCAAAAAAAGAATTCTGCACGTGGCCCATCGTCGTAATAGTGTCTTGATTATCCAGACTCAGTATAAAATCAGCCTACGACAGCTATCATTCGACTCGAGTGACCAGAAATACCTCGTGGCCCATTGTTGCTATAGTGTCTCGATTATCCTATGTGGCATAGCTCGAGCGACAAGAAACGAGTTTGTAGTTATCTCCCCTTCCGAAAGGAAAAAGGTAAACAGACATCAACACGTAAAACACAATTTTTCCACCCATGACGTCTATGGACTTGGATATATATGTATTTATACATATGCAAGTCAATAGAAATGTATAATTAATAGACTATAGAAGCCTAGCGTCATTTAGACTAGTTTATCCAGTCTAACTAGAACTAGGCCTACATACATAATGACGTTTGAAGTCATTGACTTTAATGACACCATTCGGCCTACTAGTGCGCAAGGCTTATGTAATGTTTTTAAAACACTTGGTCTCCCTGAGGTCGAATTTCAAAAGTAGTTAACAACTTTGAAACTAATCCTCGAAGTATAGGCCTACTACTACTAAGTAGCCGGGGGGGGGGGGCGAATGGTTAGCACGTGCGCGCTGTATCATAAAGCCTGTCATATCATAAAGCCCGTCATTGAGTCAACTGGCGTAATTTCGAATCCCCGGTTGTACGTGACAAGGAGTAGGGTGACCTGTCAAACATCGTGGGTCTGTCGTTCAGATTATCCTGTACGTGGGATCTATGAAGAACGTATGGTATAGACTCGAGCGACAAGAAACCAGTCTATAGTTACCTCACATCAAGCCACAAGTAATTTTAACTAAAATCTATTAAAATTAAATTTTAAGTTACAATCGATCTTCGTGAAACGCATAAATTTAAAATTTCACTTTGATTTTAAAATCTATGTTAGTGATTTTAGCTTCAGTTTTTGTGAAACCCCTGCTCTCCCTGAGGTCATCGCTAGTCCCCCGCTACGACCACAGGAACGGGTAAGAGGTGCGAAAGTGCAATGGCGGACAACATCAATTTCAAAGACAAAATTTAAATAGAGCATGATAGCCTACGTGGACTTCGTCTGGGGCCTGTTTTACTAAGATAAAATTCAAATTTTAGTATTTGATTGGATAATAGATAATATTAGATTTATTTTAGTGCTTAGCTAATCAAAATTGAAGTATCTACAATTATGTTGACGTGAGATAACTACAGACTCGTTTCTTGTCGTTCGAGTTTATACGTTCTTCATAGATCCCACACATAATAATCGAGATACTACTGCAACAATGGGCCACAAAATGTTTCTGGTCGCTCTAGTCTAATGATAGCTGTATACTGGGTCTGGATACACAAGACACTATTGCGACGATGGGCCACGTCGGGAATTATTTTTTATCTTTTCTTTTTCAATTTTTTTTTTTTCATTTAATTTTTTTTTTAATATTATTTCTTTTATATTTTCTAAAAATATATTTTATTTTTTTTATATATATATATATAGATTTTTTTTTTTCATTTTAAAAAGATTTTTTTTTTTTAATTTTAAAAAGATTTTTTTTTTTTAAATTTAAAAATTTTTTTTTTTTTTTTTAATTTTTTAAAAAGATTTTTTTTTTTTTAAATTTTTTAAAAAGATTTTTTTTTTTTAAATTTTAAAAGATTACTTTTTTTTATTTTGTAAAACAAAACAAAAAAAATGTTTCTTTTTTTTTTTACTAATATTTTTATTATTTTAAATGAAATACAAAAAAAAAAACGCTATTGCGACCATGGGCCACCATAGTTGACAACCTTTTGAGCAAAAGACATAAAAATAATTATGTTTTGACTTTCTTAGAAAATATGAAATTGTAACTTTACTGGTTGAGTATTTTAAAACCCATCAGAGTGTTACAATATCGATTGGCATGTGAAGATGCACTTTTCTCTGAAGTGCTTACATCAGGGTTGAGTTAAAACCCATCTTCACGTGCCAAGATGTCACGACATCACGCCTGGTATACCATGGCATCTGAAGATATAAAACCGTCCGCGAATTATTTATTACATTAAAACCCACTGTACGATATTCCTAGCGTATCTTAAAATCAGTCTTCACGTACCAACATATATCAAAAATGAAATGAAATGAAATGGGGTTTAACGTCCTACTGTTTTGCTACTATACTGGGCTAATGAAGACGGGCATACGCCCTACAGTGTGCTATGAGGGAAATTTTGCCCGGGCAGCGGCACTATCGCCTACTCTTATATCGAATTCCATCTGCCAAGGGATCTTTTACGTGCATTCCAATGTATACAAGGGACCTCGGTTTTTCGTCTCATCCGAAGGACTAGACAGCTGTCCTTGTCAGGCCCTCCGTTCTACACCACTGACAAGGGAATACCACGTCGGAAAAATATCACGATATCACGTCTGGTATACGTTAGCAAGTGTTTAGATAATGGTGGGTTGGAGTATATTAAAACCAATGTTACGATATTTTTAGACATGTCAAGATGCATCCGTCCGAGAATTGTTTAAATCAGAGTTGAGTTAGCGTATCAGAAAAAAAAACCATCTTCACATGTCAGTACGTTACGGTATTACATCTGATATAACTTGGCATATGAAGATGCATGGAAATGGTTATATATTAACAAAGTGTGGGTCAGTCACAACTAAAACGATAGGACGCCAGGTAATTTATTACACGCAATCGTCTCGAAAAACGACATGTATAAATTTTGAAAAGGATCAGATGATAAATAGTCCTTTGATTGTTCACAAGAAATTGTTAAAGGTGGACGGACGGACGGACCTACAGAAGAGTGTGCCAATTCAGAAGTACGAGCGCACACTATGAACCAAGAACTGAACAACCTGCCGCCATTTTGGAATCCATGCGCTATGGTCCAAACAAGGAACAAGCATGTTAATGTATTTTGTCGAATTTGCAGAGTCGTAGCTCCTTTTATCTCAGAGTAACGAGGGTGGCGGGAAGTGTTCTCAGGTGACGGACAATGTATATTTTTTTATGGTCGACAATTTTTTCACCGGGGGGGGGGGGGGCGAAATTTTTGCAAGGGGGGGGGGGCGACCCCCCTAGTTAAGGGCCTGGGGTCGCCTCAAGAAGAACCAAGATTACAAGGTGCTTCGAACCAATTCCTGATTAGAAAATAAAACCCTATAAACATAGTAATATTATAACTTCTTACATCAGCAAGGGCCTTTTCCTTTACTTTTCTTTCACGTTCATAATTTTGTCTTTCCAGGTCTGCTTGTTTCATTAAATCTCGTCTATTAGTTGAGAATTCCGCATCACGTGCTTTAATCTGCTGTTGTAGATCGAGAGCGAGGCTGTGAGCTTCTGATAGCAATCGTTTCTGTTCAGACCTTTCTTTCTCCCAAGTTGTTTCCATCGAGCTCTGTTTATCTCGAACTTTACTTTGGACTTGTGTTGTCAAAGTTAACTGTTCCTGCAACTACAAATCAAAGTAATTTTCACATAAAAATTCAAGAAATACAACCATGGAGATGTTTTTGAATTTCGCAGTTATTTGAAACAAATCAAAGCCAAAATCAAATATTCATATGATCTTTGATTATGGACATAAGATATTACTTTGAAACAATATTTACCAATCTGTATTAAATACAGATGTGTCGACACTCGACAATTGTTTTAGATTGGCGTACCATTATTTCAAATAATCGTACGGGCAATGTGCCAAGCGTACAATATTCATACTAGTTGAAATTTCGGACCCGCGTGACGCATTTCATTGCAAAGCACGTGCGAGTGTCTGTATTTTCAGTTGTTTAATGGTCTCGAACTCAATACATTGCGTAATATATTGAAACAACACTTGGAACTAACGTCCCTCGTGTTGCTTCAATATATTACCTTATGTCTCGCTCTCGACCATTAAACCACACATATTAGTCATTGGGTATTTGTTATGGCATTATTAATTGAAAACACTACAATATTACACATTCTAATTTGTGTATTTGTTATTTGTGTATTATACTGCTTGCATTTTAGAAACGGCCACCAAACTGTTAGCCTGATTATGGACTTCCCCTATGCAGTCTACTATTAACGGAACCGTTTGTTTATATAATAAAACAAGTGATTGTTCTGTTCATGTGTTTCTCAATCGCTAAATGCCACTAAAGATTACTGTTGACTGATCGTAGTTGTTGCGCGCGAGGCAGGGAATGTTAACCCAAGATACCCATTACCCAACATATTATTACAGGGTCTTTTCACTTGATGTTAGACCTACTTTAACTATTTGGCCCGTTTCCGTGTACTCGCTTTCCCGTGCGTTTCGCCAGTTACATGGAAACAGTCCTATTATATTTGCATTAGACCGATTTTTATCGCCTGTGAAAACCCGTGCGGAAACACCACGAAAGCGCGTATATGGAAAACGGGCCTGAATTAGTGACAGACCGGGAGGTCTCCTGACCGATTGTTAATCCCTTGCAAAGTACAATATACTATTGTGAAAGTTGAATCTCTAGAAGGTGGTTAAATTCCGTTCAAAATTTACAAAGATTTGGTGAATAGTAAATTTGTCGACGCACTGCAGACCATATATAGGATATGGTCAAGACAAGTCACTCCTGTCTGATGGATCCGTTATCTACCGTTCAAATTTTAATTTAGTTTTCTTAATTAAACGTTAAACAATTAATCTAGGTACACCAAACCATGAATAATTAGAAATATCCCCAAAAATGAAAATCACTCCACCATGATCTGGAAGCCTGGAATGGGTAAACTTTTTTGTAATATTTCTCGCAAATATGAGTTACTCGGGTAGGTCTTTTGTGAATTACTCAGTATGTACCTGGTTTATTTTACTCTGTAAGTTAGCTCGCTCTATTTCACCACTAGCTCTTTCCGTAGCACATCTGTTGATTAACTCGGATCTTAAATTATCCTGTTCCATCACCTTCTCTTTGAATTCCTGGATCTTTCTCTTCATTTCACGAGCTAATTCACGGGAATCTTCGATCTGTAGGAAAACACATAATTAAATAAATAGTCCCAGACATAACACGTGTAATTCATATTTATTTGACAGACTAGAATTTGACAAAAGCTTGGTTATTTGTAGGACTGTGAATTAACAATTGATAAAAAAAAATTGAAAAAGCGACCAACAACGCAATTTCTGAAATAGGTTTATAAAACACCCGTTCCCAGCGAGCTGATATCGCCAACAAACTACACCTGTTCTATTATTATTTTATAGGTTGACCGACTAAAGCACAACAGACCACACTATATCATGTGCCTATTTTGAATAAGCTATTTTTTTTAATGTACTTAAACATACATTATGCAAGAGCTAAATCTGCCTATTGCAGTTCTTTCTTTAGGTCTGAAATGTTATCTAAATTATTAATTAGACATTAATTAACTTATCGAGACCATAATCAACTCTCGGTGTCATCGCTAGCTTGTGATATTTACTGGATTAGGATCCGATTTGCTGCTCAACTTTCATTCATGATATGATTAAATCATGAACTGGATAGTTGAGACTATGTTTTTTTATCGTACAGACTTTAGTAATGATGATCGAGGCTAGGGCCAAAATTCAATCGCTAAATTCTCGACTCAGACTGAGTCAATTTGACTGAAAATTTCAGCAAGTTCCCTGTATATTATCCAATTTTAACTATGATATTGAGAACAGCTAGCTCTTTATCTAATCTCCCATAATGTATATTTAAGTTATTATTTTGAATGTACTTAAGTTATTATTTCGAATGTACTTAAGTTATTATTTTGGAGTTTACTTTACTTTGGAGCTCTATCACCATTTTACCCGTTGGTTGTGTTTATAGATGGACAGGAAACAGACCATTATATCTGATACTTACACACGTCATTGATTATTCACCCTGTTACCTCTTTGCTGTGTTTTATAGGGACAACGAATAGCATTTTCTGTACAATTGAAACTGTACAATATATAACTTACATAACTTAATATTTGGCAGTATCAGTATCACTCGCCCATTTTACCGAGGTGTCGTGTTTCATGGGGGTGGGGTGGTTGTGTACATTAAGACCATGTTATTTTGGGTATTATTCAACATCTTACCTCTTTTCCATGTTTTTCCAATCTCTGCTTTTCGTCTTCCCACTTGATCAGGTCCTGTGTGTAGGAATCTTTCAACTGCAACATTCCTTTCTGGGCAGCCTTGATTATCTCTTTATCTAATTCCCTCTCTTTCTCCAGATTTTCAACTGTAACTAGAGCCCGACTGTAATCTCTAGACATCTTGTCTATTCTGGTCTCATACCGAACCTTCATGGCTAGATATTCAGCTCTCAGTATCTTCTCCTCCTGCTGTAACCTATAAGCCATCTCAGCCTGCAAATAAAAATGCAACGGACTGGAGTTTAAAATCTTACATTTCTACACCAAGCGGGGAATCGAGTCTACGCAACTTGACTTAATGACAGATCCTATCCACCATTTTATCAGCAAACAACATATAAATGAAATAAAATAGGGTTTAACGTCCTACTGCGCTGCTCCTACTGGACTAATGAAGACGAGAATACGTCATGCAGTCTGCTATGATTAACCTTTTCACCGTCATATCGGTCTTTCGTCAAATCTAATAGACTAGATGATGTTCCTTGCCAGACCCTTCCTTCTGTAAAGCAGGAAAGGGGAAATAATGGACAATTCCACCAGTAAAGTTGACTGGCTATTGCTAGAATATATAGCACTGCGATAAACCTTAGTGAAAAAGTTTACAAATTTATATACATGTACATTTAACAAAAAATGTCACGGACAGTGCAGAGCAATCATATGTCTTTTTATAAATATCAAAAGTTTATGAATCAGTACATTCAGTGTGGTGACCAAATGATACGCTTTTATTGAGGATGTATATGTTCAGATTGAAATTGGGCATGGAATGGAAATTTGGGACTAACAGATAGTAATTGCATACCTGTGCAGTGAGTCGGTCGACCTCTTGTTGTAGCCTGGTACCAATCTCCACTTCCTCTTTAAGCTGCTGGCATTTCTCTGTTAGCTCCATCTGAAGGCCCACCACCTGTTCCTTCAGACCACGGGTATCAACATCATGTTCTGTACGTATATTATGTACCTCACAGGCCAGCTTCTCCTTCTCTTTGTAATATCTCTCTGTATCAGCTTTTAGGTTTAATATGATATCATTCCTGTCCATCGTCGTGTTGATCTCATAAAGACGCAGCTTCTCCATCAGGATATTCAGATCGGTTTGCAGCCCTGAACGATTCTTTTCCCACAGCAGCATTGCTTCATTCAAAGCCTTTCTGGATTTCTCCAGTTCGCCCTGAAGCCGGTCTTTTTCATCCCTGGCTTTTTGAAGCTCACCCTGCGAAGACCGAAGCGTCTGCTTTAGTCTTGCGTTCTCCTTTTCGATATCCGTCTCCGATCCAGTATCTCGGACACAAGATTCGGAGATCTGCTGTTGCAGAATAGCTATGATTACTTCTTTTTCCTTCACACTCGCCATTGTATCTTTGATTTCGTCCTGGAGAATGACCGTTTCTTTTTGCCTTTCCTCCAGATTTTTGTTAAGCTTTTCGATGTATCCATCTTTCTCCTTGAGCCTTTCGTCACGAGTTCGGACGTTCTCCCTCAAATTTCTAATGGTCTCTTCACGTTGCGACACCTGGTTCAGCAGAGTCTGGAAATCGGTATCTCTCTGTCGTATGACGTCATCCTATAAATAATCAGCACAATAAATAGAATTTTATTACAATTTCGCTTAGTTGGTATAGTTCCTTGTTTGTTAATCTAACTTTATGGACAACAAGGGAGTGGGGATACTATGTATATCACAACTACAATAAAAGATTACACCGAGTATGTAAAACTTAGTTTCGTTTATTGAGATGTTGTTCCTTTTTATACTACATTATAATCTACTTCTCTGTCGCCATCAACACGCATCAACACACCGTTCAAGTTCAATAAACTACCCGAGTTAAAGGATTATGATCCCTAAACTCACCAGAAACACTTTTGCATTCACTTCATTCCATTTCGTTATCTTTTATATATTTCAATAATTTTCCACCAAAACTCGGATATTGCTTTATTTTGGGTTGAATAAACCCTTAATGTCCAATCAATACACAGCCCCGTATATGCATACAGATTTGGTTAAACAGATTGCATGCCCTAGACTTACACTAGGGAGAAAATATCTCAACTGTCGATCAGTAGGGTACAGCATTACAAAATTTTTAATGATAAAGGTTGCTTGACAACGAAATTTGCGCCCACATAAAGAATGTAACATGGATAACTTTTTATTATATTGTATATAATCTTTTCTAAAATATGCATATTAATTTAAAATTATATGGTAACTTTTTATTCACAGGCCGTTTCCAAGAATCTAAAAAGCAAGCAAGGGCAATAACTACTATGTACATATAAAAACGACTGGGTGATAAACGAGTGTGTTGAGCGCTCACATGAAATTGTGGCCGACGTGCACTGACGGGCGGACTGGCTGACCGATGGACTGACGAACAAGGGGACTGCAATCTAAGACCTAAAAGGTAAATAATCTGTAAGATCTAAAGGTAAATAATATCATATTACCTGTTCGTGTAAGAAATCTTCACGTCTGTTTAAAGCCGAATTCTTCTCTGAAATCTCTGCCTCTTGTTCCGTTATTTTCTTCTCTTTGTCACATAAATCTTTCTTCAACGTTTCAAGGGTCTGTTTCACCACCGCCATCTCTGTTCCCTGGGATGTAATCTCATTCTCTAGGTCTTTTTTACTCTGTTCCAGAACAGCACTCTTTGATCTCCATATCTCGTTCAGCTGTAAATGAAATCAAATGGGGGCTTAAGGTCCTATCTTTCTGCATCAGCAGGTCCAATAAAGACGGGAGAACGCCATTCAGTGTCTTTGATTTCAGGATGTCTGATTCACTCATTTACACCGAGTAGTGCAGTTGGTTTCGAGGAAGGCAATGGTGCTGATTATGTTGGCAATATTGTTATATTACGTTAAGCACTCGCCATTATTATATGCTGACGAAGATGTTGACAATGACGGTTGACGACCATGATGATGATGATGATACATTAAAGATACCTTACCTCTTCGACTTTGTATTCCAACTCCTCGGCTTTCAGTTTGAATTTAGCACACTGTTCCTTTAATCTACCAATATCAGCTGTGTCAGCAATTGGAGACTGGAAAATTGAAATTATATATACTATTAAAAAACGGCATAAAATAATGTTGTATCATTGATGCCAGCTCCGTACGTCTAGCACTGGCTCAGTAGAAATGTCGGCGAAAAAGTACCACGCGATTTTCCTCTTCCGTGTCTCAATCTTTTCTGTGGTATAAGAACGGGTGACTGGCAAGGCAAAGCGTCTGGACATTCGGGTGGAACGACAAACCAAGATTCCCGTGTATACTATTACCAGAACGATAAAGATCCGCTCAAGGTGCAAGAGCAAAATGTTCCTAATAGCACAATGTATATGGAATATGCCCATCTCTGTTAGCATAGTTTGGGCACAAACGCCAAACACCATTCCATTTCATTTTCTGTCTTTGCAATGTATATTAAATATAAATATATGATTAATAATTACCCGTGGTCTGGGTCCTGGTGAAGCAGAGAGTGACTTAGCTGAAGAGACTTCCAGTTCGTTTTCCGGTGTTTTTTCATGTTCGGACATTTTCTGTTCCAACTTTAAAAAGAAAGATGAGTTTGAGAAACAAACTAATATACACAAACATGGTATTCGCAAGGAGCATATATATATTTGACCATTTGTTGATCGTAAACAGTTCATTCAATAGACTTTCCACTGGAACGTTTCCTGTAATGATAGCATTTACTAAATAACTGTAGATTTACCTCGTCACAGAGTTTCCCATAGTCCATTCTTAGTCTCAGATTTTCTTCTTCCATTATATTTAACCTCTCCTTGAATCCTTTTATCTGATCTGTAGCTATGCGCATGTTTTTCTGATGGTCTAATAACTGTAAAAGACAGGGACATATATAACACTTTGTGAAGTTAAGAAAGTTCATTTGTATCGGTGGTTAGACTATAGGGTGCTCGATTGTCAATCCGGAACGTTCAGAATTGCAATGGGGTGTCACGGAACTGAGCTACGTCACAGTTTTACCAGGCCCCAATACAACTTTAATATGAGCAGAATTGGTTTAGCTGTGGTGATTGTTCGGCATAGCATAATATTCAGTTCGCGCATGCCTTATTACCCGATATTCAAGTATTTACTCGATTGCCCCCCCCCCCCTCCAATCTGATCTGCACCACAGATAAGTGAACTTTCTAGGCCAACACCGTCATCTAACCAGAGTCCACTGAGCCAGTGCCGTACTCACCGTGACTCTAAGATTAAAACAAGGGGTAAAGGTCAGTAATACCTCATCCTGTAATAATTCCTTTTCACGTAGATGTAGTTTGACGTCATCGGACATACCAGACGTATGCGTGTCGGGATCAGCCAGACGCAATTTCTTCTCCACTGTATGAACTTTCTGACGCTCTTCAGCTAAAAGGCGCTCTAGTGACGAGATCCTCTTCTTAAACTGGCCCTAAACAGAAATACAATCAATCACGGTTTTAAAATCAAATACGAATTTAGGCCGCCGTAATTCAGAGCTGACAACTGCTAAATAAAACCTCGTGGCTCGTATAATTCCCTCTGGGCCTTCACATAACACCATTTCACTATTAACTGCTTTATATAAGGTCATGATCACAGATGTGTTTTCCAGCTTTTTCAGACCGGATTGTTCCACTGCTTCTTCTTATCTCGGGTCGTTTCATTTCAATCTGGGCAAGTCAACGGGATATTTTAACATATAATTAGTTAACGAATATTTCATAGCACATGGATTTATTAAAATCAAATACAATTCGTAGACTCTTATTTTTGACGTTTTTGTTCGGAATAAAACAACAAATTATCTTATACACAAGAGATATGGAAATAAGACCACCATGTCAACATTAATTGAAATCGAATGAAAAGTGTAGAATATACCGCGTTCGCAGTCTATGTTTGACGCGTGTCAATAAATCTGACATTGACAGATATAAGGCAACATGCCCATTTGCATTAAAACCCGATTATAAATGTTGACTCCATCGCGATCAAAAACTATTTTTAGGGTATTCTGCAATGTCAAAGTCAACAAGTTTTTATACAGTTGACGAATCACGTTCCAATTCATCCGCGATATCATAGATATGGCAACCAAGCGCCATTAAAATCCAATGAAAAATCTATCGCGTGCATAAGGAAGTGTGTACGTATGGAGGACGGGCAAACGGTCGGGCGGATATGGGTGACAAGAATAAATAACACCACAACGTTTAATGTCGATGTATAAAAACACCACACAATCGATTCTTACCTCCCAGTCCCTGTTGACAACCATAGATTTATCTCCCCCTAGTGATGGTAACGAAGGTGGTACGAGGAAGACGTCATCACTGCCGACACTGGCACCACTTAAAGCACTAACGGCACTAGCACTTCGTTCTGAAGGTGATGAATGATGTTGATATTGTTGTTCTAGTTCTTTCTCGGCTGTTTCAGCTCGTTCATTAACAATATCCAATAAATTAGTTAATACAGAATTTTTATCATGTATCATCTCCAGTTCCTGAAATTAAACCAAATTAAATGGGGTTTAACATTCTACTGTTCTGTAACAACCGAGATAATGAAGACGGGCATGGAGCATGTATTCCAGACAGCGGTGTTTCCGTCTACTATTCGAGCGAGAGACAGAGAGAAATGGGGTTTTTAACGTCCACTCGACACAAATTGGGCCATTTCGGGACTAACATATGGTCTTTAGCAGTGGGAGGAAGCCGGAGGACCCAGAGGAAACCCACGAGGTTGGACAGGCGACCCTACTCCTTGTCACGTACAACCGGGGAATCGGAACCACGCCAGTTGACTCAATGAAAGACCTTATGATACGACGCGCACGTACTAACCATTCGGCCATCGAAGTCCAACTCCCATCCGAACGAATAGACGCTGCTCGAATGATAACTCTAGCCGCTAGAACGCCCAAAAGAACTTTCAATGTTGTAAAAACAATAATTTTTGAAAGTAATTATCGGAAATCAGTGAAAGTTTTTTCTCTCGTGAACATGAACACTGCTTAAAATTCATGATTACAAGAAAATTTATGGACAATATCACTGCCAGCTATAATAAGAATTCGTTAAGAATTATAGTCCTTTTCGTCTAATGAAAATAAACATTGTTTATAAATTTCAGCTTCCATAATGGACGGCCTGATTAGCGAGCCAGCGCTTTATTAACTAAGCCACATAAAAATAAAATGGTGTTTAGCTTTCTCCACCGACTTGGCTAATGAAGATGGGCATATGCCATACCGTGTGCTTTGAGGGAACTTTTGCCCCGGATCGCGGCTCTACCGCTTACACTTATGCCGAATTCCAACTGCCAAGTGTACCTTTATGTAACTCCAGTGAGCACACGGGACCTTGGTGTTCGGTCCCATCCGTCATGCACCACTGACGGAGGAGCCATGATGGAAAATCCCTTGAACTTTCTAGACCAACGCCAAGATCGAAGACAAGACCGCCAGGTTGGCAAGCCAACGCGGCTTCCACTAAGTGACAGTGTCTCCGTATGACAATATAAGAGGATGGCATATTACCCGCATGAGTTCTAGTTCTGTATTCTGACTCTCGTCTTTTAGTTCTTCAATCTCCTCCTGCAATGACGTCACTTGGACCTCTAGACGTATGTTCTCACTTTCTTTGTCACGTAGCTTGCTCTTGATGCTATCTGAAAAATAAATAAATAAACGATGCTTTCAGAAAAATAAATAAATAAATAAATACATGACCCCGAGAATGTTTTAGACCATGCTATATGAAGGTCAAGATCATTTATTAGTTTTACATTCTCAAAAATCAATCTTGGGCTGTTTACTGCAATTAACGGTTAATTGGGGGATGAGGGGGGGGGGGTAACCGTGTTTATTATGTTAATTAAGTTTAATACGAGGAACTAATGATGTAAGCTGCAGTGGGAAAGCGTGCAGGGCTAGTAGGCAAATCTTGGGCTCCGGGGTAAGCCCATACTACTCGCCGTGTTTAGTTTGATTAGACCTAATCCCACTCAACACTGCTGTAACGAAAGCAAATTTCTGTTCCAAATTATGACTGGTCAATAGTCGGATTAACAACCGATCCCTAACTGCGTGACAGTATCATTTTGGGTTTAAAACAGAGTTCCAGATATGTTTACAAAACGTTACGCCCAATTTCGCCGTTTTTAATACCTTAAATTACTGTCCAAAGTTTTAGGGAAGACCTCAAATTAAACGAATGGCTGTCATGTTGCTGTACGGAAAGAATGGACGCTCTCCCTCAAAAGCTCAAGTATCAGAAGTCAATCCAGCAATGGGCAGAGGGGGATTTCTCGGGCCATTGGTTCAGGAATATTGGCGAAGCCGGGTATCAAAAGACTCGATAATAAACAAAACATCAATATAATATGATAAAATATCAGTAAATCAATGAATTATCACTAAGGACCATCTTTTCCGACAATCGCCATAACCAATATGCACAATGAATTAAATATCGATTTTATACAAAAATAATAATCTTAAGGTGTAATTAAACATACATTATACAACAGCTAAATCTGCCTATTGTAGGTCTTTCTTTAGGTCTGAAATGTTATATAAACTGTTAAACATGCATTATACAAGAGCTAAATCTGCCTATTACAGATCTTTCTTTAGGCCTTAAATGTTATCTAAATTATTAATTAAACATTTATTAACATGAACAGACATTAATCAACTCTCCATGGCATCTTATGTGTCGGATTTTCATTGGATTTGAATCCGTTCTGCTGGTCAGCGCTCATTCACGATTAAATCCAAAAATGGATACCGACTTTAGTAATGTTGATCGAATCTAGGCCTAAATTTCAATCGCTTGTAATTCGGTTCAGAGTGGAGCAATTTGACTGAGATTTTCAGCGTATCCCCTTTATATTATCTAGTTTTAACTATTTTAGTTAGAACTGGCAGCTTTTAATCTCATCTTCCATAATGTATCTTTAATTAGACATTTATTAACATGACAAGACCGTAATCAACTCTCGATGGCATCACTAGCGTGCGATATTTATTGGATTAGGTTCCGATCTGCTGTTTGACTTCCATTCATGATTAAATCATGAAATGGATAATCGAGACTATGTTTTTTTTATCGTATCGACTTTAGTAATGATGATCGAGGCTAGGCCGAAAATTCAATCGCTAAAATCTCGGTTCAGAGTGGATCAATTTCAGCAAATTCGCTTTACGTTATCTTGTTTTAACTATTATAGTGAGAACTGCCAGCTCTTTATCTAATCTCCCATACTGTATCTCTAACTCCTTAAACCTGTATCCAAAATGTGTAAAATTACATTTATAACGATTAACTCGTTGATGTAGTATACCTCTACCCTTAATGGATTTTACAACAAGTATTTATATAGTCTATCTGTTTTTCAGAATAAAGGAACATTAGTTATTGTATAAGTCTGAATTAACTAGTTTTATGAGATATAAACTGTTATACACAGAGAGAAAGGTTGTGTAATATATTTATGGTGAAGACGAAGTTAATAAAGACAGCAGATGTTATTCTAGGTTATACATCTTATTAACAACCCAATTGTATAACGGTGGTAATGCGAAAATCTTCTGAAAACAGAAGCAGGCCACGCCCACATCCAGTATAATACTTGATGTGGGCGTGGCCTGCTACTGTTTTCGTACGCCGTACAATCGCTATGCTTATTCTACAAATTGAAAACAAGTATGGCGATTATGTAGGGCGGTAATTTTTTTTATTTAATTATTTCTGTAGTTTTGTAACCGGAGTTCAGCTTTAACCAATGAACAATATAACAGATTAATATAGAACACAGTTTTTATGGGATACAACGATAAAAGGACACTTGTCGAAACATCAGGCTTTTAGAATAAAACTAATGATTGTATCCCATAGAAACTGTGGCATTTAGCACCGAGAAACACATTAATAGAACACAATTTTTACGGGATACAATCACTAGAAAGGGCTTTTCTAAGTTTTTGAAACTTGTGCTCAATCCTTTTGATATTTGTCAATAAAATATGTTTAAACTAAACCAAACGATAAGAGGATACTTGTCGAAGCGTCGCGCTTTTAGAATAAAACTAATAATTGTATCCCATAGAAACTGTGGCATTTAGCGATCGGGAAACACATTAATAGAACACAATTTTTACGGGATACAATCACTAGCTCACCAAACGATAAGAGGATACTTGTCGAAACGTCGCGCTTTTAGAATAAAACTAGTTATTGTATTCCATAAAAACTTTGTTCTATTAATGTGTTTCCCGATCGCTAAATGTCACTCAAAGATTAAATAGAACAGACCTTTAAGGCCACGCCTAGTAAAGTTTTAAATGTGACGTCACATCATACGGCGCCGACAACACGTGCGTTGTTTACATAGGATGTAGTAATACAAACTGGTAATGGCGTCATTGACGCCTTTTACTCATTTTACTCCTCCGCACTCTATTTTATATACCCATTCACACTAATATTTTTCTATCCAGATATACTTCAAAAAACCATTATTATTGTTATTAATAATTTAATGAAATTGTTTTAGAAGTTAATTTTGTGAGCTAATTAACTCGTCCCGATGTCATCCCTATCAGTGATATTTACGGCTGATCAGTTTCATAAATAACAATAAACTACTTCAATAGTCGGGTCAAAACGACCAGATCCGTGACCATTTCTCGGGGAACAAGATTTGACAAGGTTTGACGATGGTTTCTGATTAAAGGAGCCGTAGTGAAGATATTTGTATTTAGCTACCTCTGAAATCTACGGACCAACTCTAGAAGAGCTGAAAATCCAAGTGAGTAAATATTAAGAACCTGGAATTTTTAAAGGAATCACGACTGCTGTTCTTGGTTTGAGATTACATGTTATTATCCTATGGTAATTTGTGTTGAAGGGGTCAAACCAATTCCATAATTAGCATTATGTAATTCGCTACTTTCTTTTTACTTAACACCAATTAACCTCTAATAATTTCATATAACTCAAGTTCAATGACACTTAGAATGATTTTTAACCCAATTTAAAAAAAGAAATAGAAGGAATTTAACGCCAAGATGATACGTGTTATTTTGAGAGTAACATATATATTTACACATGCGTGTAACGTAGGGAAGAGTAATTATTGCCCCATCCCGGTTGGTGCAAAAAAGTAGGACGTTAAACCCTATTTCATGCATTCATTCCTTTCCACCTTTCCGTCAAGCGACCTGACTCTGACTTGACGCTGACATGTGCGCTATAGTCTGTATTTGACAGGATCCAGATTTCCTGAAATGTGAGGGGGGGTTATTAAAGCTAATTGTCTTAATGCGCAGGTGCATTGATAGCAAAATGATAATTAGTGTTGCAATCGGCTCCACCAAGCTTATTTGCAACCTACTATATATCATGCTGCTTTTACGGCAAAGACAGTTAGTTAACGTGTTCAGGAAATTTCAAAACATACGAAATCTAGAATTTACGACGGGTATAGTGATGTGGTCGGGGGGGTTCGATAGTTCAAATACCGGGAAGTAAGGACAATAGTCAGAAGATTGGATAGTCCATACATGCTGTGGAAGACTTTAAGAGATTCTAACACAAAATTAAGCATTTTTTTCTCCAAAAAATAACGGAGATTGGCCCTTTAAAGAAAAGGGCCAAGGCTCCGTCCTCTAGTGTGCTATGAGGGAAATTTTGCCCGGGCAGAGGCAAAAAAGCCTACTCTTATATCGAATTCCAACTGCCAAGGGATCTTTTACGTGCATTCCAATGTATACACGGGACTAGACAGCTGTCCTTGTCAGGCCCTCCGTCTTGCATCACTGACAAGGGGGAACCACGCCGGAAAATCTGGATGAACTTTCTCGGCAATGCAGGGATCGAACACCCGACCTCCAGGCTAGCGAGCCAGCGTCTTGCCCACCTAGCCACCTTGATCCTGGTCATTGGACGATAGCACATCGATTAAAAAACATACAAGAGCTAAATCTGCGTATTGCAGGTCTTTCTTTTGGCCTGAAATATTATATAAACTATTCATTAGACATTTATTAACATGAAAAGACCTTAATCAACTCTCGATACCATCTTGTGTGTCGGAGTTTCACTGGATTTGAATCCGATTTGCTGTTCAACGCTCATTTATGATTTAATAAAAAAATATTGGATTTATCGTACCGACTTTAGTAATTATAATCGAGGCTAGGTCTAAAATTCACACGTAAAAATATAGGTTCAGTGTGAAGCAATTTGACTGAAATTTTCAGCATATTCCCTTAACATTATCTAGTTTTAAACTAGTATAGTGAGAACTGCCAACTCTGTATCCAAACTTCCATAATGCCCCTTTAACGGACAACACTTATTTACAGTGGGAAGGCATCGTCACGACGTAAACTTTGCTTAGATATTTTGGGGCTAAAATGTTATTTGGGTTGGTCTCCCCCATCCCTGGGGGATCACATGGCTAAGTGGGTAAGACGCTGGCTCGCTAGCCTGGAGGTCGTGTGTTCGATCCCTGCATTGGCCGAGAAAGTTCATCCACATTTTCCGGCGTGGTTTCCCCCATGTCAGTGATGCAGGACGGAGTGCCTGACAAGGACAGCTGTCTAGTCGTTCGGATGGGACGAAAAACCGAGGTCCCGTGTACACATTGGCGTGCACGTAAAA